CTTTAATGCTGATCCACCCAAAGCTGGAATACCAGCTCCTCCTGGCCAAGAAGGTGCAGCTGATCGATGCTCTGAAGGTAAGTGTGTGTTGTGGGCTCGTGTCACTGTTTTAAAAGTGGGATTTCTGGAGTCAGAAACACTTCAGTGTCCTGTTGGCTGAATTTGAACACCAAGGTGCTTTTGTTTTTGATTTTAAATAAGGAATTGCAAGTTCATGAAGGAAACACAAACTTCCTGATACCAGAGTACCGCTGTATCCTAGAGGAGGCTGACCACCTACAGGAAGAATACAAGAAGCAGCCTGCACACCTCGAAAGGCTCTACGGTTAGTGCCCTCTTCTAGAATACCTGGCCAATACCTGGCCGTGTACAGTTAGTGCCCTCTTCCAGAATACCTGGCCGTGTACAGTTAGTGCCCTCTTCCAGAATACCTGGCCGTGTACAGTTAGTGCCCTCTTCCAGAATACCTGGCCGTGTACAGTTAGTGCCCTCTTCCAGAATACCTGGCCGCGTACAGTTAGTGCCCTCTTCCAGAATACCTGGCCGCGTACAGTTAGTGCCCTCTTCCAGAATACCTGGCCGTGTACAGTTAGTGCCCTCTTATAGAATACCTGGCCGGTAAAGTTAGTGCCCTCTTCCAGAATACCTGGCACTAACTCTTCCAGAATACCTGGCCGGTACAGTTAGTGCCCTCTTCCAGAATACCTGGCCAATACCTGGCCAGTACAGTTAGTGCCCTCTTCCAGAATACCTGGCCAATACCTGGCTGGTACAGTTAGTGCCCTCTTCTAGAATACCTGGCCAATACCTGGCCGGTACAGTTAGTGCCCTCTTCTAGAATACCTGGCCAATACCTGGCCTGTACGGTTAGTGCCCTCTTCCAGAATACCTGGCCAATACCTGGCCAGTACAGTTAGTACCCTCTTCCAGAATACCTGGCCAATACCTGGCCGGTACGGTTAGTGCCCTCTTCTAGAATACCTGGCCAGGTTTCTTTGCCACTGGCCGTTTGCCAGGCGGGAGGAACAGGCGAAAGATGATAGCGGTCCTACGCCAGTGACAGCAGCCATTGAACAGAACACTTCTGTATCTTGTCAGCTAGTTTTAAATCGTATTTTTACTTGAAAAATCCTAGTAAAAATTCTTAAGTGAAATTATACTGTGATGAAGGACCATGGTGTAAAATGAACCTAACTCATGGAGCACAGCATGATAGATTCTTCTCACAAATACTGCCAGGTTTTACTGCTACTATAAAATATTTTTAAGTGCAGCTTTTATTATTTTTAGGCAAAATTGAGTAAGGGACATTTATATCTGTGTCAGTTTACAGTTTAAGCTTATTTTACTTTGGTGGTGAGAAGCTGGTTGTTTCACAGATCTACTGAAAGAAGGAAGAGCAGGTGGAGGAGAGGGGCAGGGAGGGAGGAGAGGGGCAGGGAGGGAGGGTGCGGTCCCTGAGCCCAGTAGGCTGCTGCGCCGTGGGGTGGGCCTTTACCCAGCACTCAGCCGCTTTTCTTACTTTAACTGAAATGAGACTGAAGGGTTTGTTGTCTCATTCCCAGTTAGTGGCAAAGCCTACAGTGGAACCTCTTCACCCCAAATGCATGCTTCTACGCTGTGCTGAGTCTCCGCAGTCACTGGAGAGCCAGCTGATTCCAGCCCATGTTGATCCCGAAGCCTGCCTTGCCTGAATTGATGATGTGCCAGAGACTTTCTCACAGACAGTTGTATATACACGTGTATATACAAGTATATATATGTGTGTATATATGAGAAAAAAATTTTTTGAGACAGGGTCTTACTAAGTTACTGAGGCTGCCCTCAAACTTGGGATCCTCCTGCCTCAGCCTCCTTAATCACTGGGAATACAGGTGTGCACCAGCACACCTACTTAATATAAAATATTTTAATGTTTCATACAGGGTAGGCACAGGATCTCTTTTATCCTTAAAATAACGTATGGAATTAGTACAGATCTACCATCTCTTATAGTGACTTCAAAATCTAGAAATTAAAAACGAAAGCTTTTTGCATAAATTGTTTGACAATAAATCTCACTTAATCTGAATAAGTTAATGACAAAACCTGATTTAAATGGACATGAAGTTATTTCTGATCTTACTGTTCTTAGTGCAAATATTCATCCATGTATTATGTGGCAGAAGTAGTTATCATATTATGAGTTGTTGCCACTAAGGCCCCTTGGGTTAATACCATATATCCCATTAGGGATATTCCTTAAGTGTGAAAAATTCTGAAATACATCAGGGTTTTGGATAAAGGATTGGTAGCATGAATTATTCTTGTTTCATATCTTTAAAAATTAAAAGGTGAGATAATTTTTCCAGATCTTTGAACCCAAGACTCTTGACCTGGAGGTCAGCATACAGGTTCAGTATTTCAATTCAGATAAGGCTGCTAAGAATAGGACCTGCTGGGTGGGAAAGATGGTCACTTCTGATGTGATCGATGCCAAGAGCATTTCAAAGATGGTCAGCAATTGACTGAACTGAATTAATAGCTCAAAACCAATTAAGAAGGTTATTAGCTTACTATGTATATCTGGACACTTGCTACAAAATCACCACAAAATAATGTTTAAAGCATCAACCCTTTTAGGTTTATGTATGTTAAATGATGGAATTTCAGAAACGATTATCAGGCAGTTACTCACTTTCATTAAATACGTTGTTCTTGAAAGAATGAATCAATATTAAAACATTTTTTTTTTAACAGGTATGATCACCGATCTTTTCATAGATAAGTTTAAGTTCAAAGGCACCAATGTGAAAACCAAAGTACCTCTCCTGTTGCAGATTCTGGACAGTTATGATCAAAATGCATTGATTGCTTTCTTTGATGCTGCATGAAAGATAAACAGGGCAAAGTCCCAAAGAAGTGGTCTTTTAAACAAAATGTTAAAGCCAAATTACAAGCCAGCTTGAAATAACTAAATATATTTGAGATACATTGACTTTAAGCTTCTGTTTCTTTTGAAAGATGGAACTGTTTAAAAATAAAGTCTTATTTTTAAAACACAAGTAGAATGATTATGAGGGATATTAATGAATTTGGGGCAAGTAGATGTTTTAATTTTTAAATTGAGAAATTTGTATTTGGAAGCAGGTATGGTGGTGCACAACTCTAATCCCAGCTACTCAGGAGGCTGAGGCAGGAGGTTCAAAAGTTTGAGGCCAACCTCAGCAACCTGGCAAGACCTTTTTTAAAAAAAGGGTTGGGGATGTAGCTCAGTGGTAGAAAGCCCTTGGGCTCAAACCCCAGTACCACCAAATTAAAGAAATAAATAAAGTAGATTTGTAAACTACTTTACAGATTTCAAAGTTTTTTTTTTTTTTTTTTTTTTTTTGTATCTTACCTGGTTTGATCTTCGCAATTCTTTTTATATATTTGCAAACCTCTCAATGAAGTTACATGGTTAAGCTGGTTCTGCACCTGGTTTGTGTCCTGATTCCTGTGTGTCATCAACCAGTGGAAATAACCTACCAGTGATTTTTTTTTCTGGGAGTTGGAATTGATTTGCCGCTGATTTCTTTTTTGCTTGGGGACATTTTGTGACCCTGCTGCAGTTGGTGAAGTGCTTCACTTGGCTCACTGCTGTCAGTGGAGACCAGGGAAGTAAGTGGGGCTCAGGATGGAGGGATCATAACTGGCTGCGCTCTCCCCAGTCCAACTCTCCAAGTGTGCACCTGAAGAGTGACGATTTTCTACAGTTTTCTTGCACTCAAATCCACTAACTTCATTATATATGAAGGAAAATAGCATTTTCAAGCTACATAGTTTGGTTCATTAATTCTTATTCATTTGGGGGGAATACTGTATTTAAAGGTTTTAAAATGGCATAAAGATACCGGAAAATAAGCTATTTTATATTTTCAAGAACGGTAGACTCATGAAATTTCCATAAAACAGTGATCCTTAATTATATGTCATATTATGTGCCAGTCTTGAGTATTAAATGTAAAATTTGTTAAAGGCACTTGTAGTTGAGTTTTATTCTAATAAGGTCATATTGTCTTTATTGTGGGGGTGAGGGGATGGCATTGGGGATTTAATGAATCCAGGGCCTTGCACGTGGTCTGTACAACTGAGCCACATCCCCAGTTCCTGTTTTTAGTATATTCGAACAGCCTTAATTCCTAAATGAAATATATAATCATATGCGGGCCACCAAGATACCACTGTCTGCTTTGTGTTGGCTGCCACAGCTTAGGAAAAAAGATAAAAATTAGTGATTATTTAAATTTCTTGTAATACATAACTGTCACATATTATCAAAAGTAGTGCAATCTTAGATTGATTGCATTTTCATTCCGAAAAAAGCATGAGCCGGGCTGAAGGCGTAGCCCAGGGGCGTGTGCTTGGTGTGCCGCGGCTCCGTGTTCAGGCCCACCAGCCCCACAAGTTTCAGCCTCGGGAGGCTCGGCCTTTCCAACCCTGACGTGCAGACGTCCTTCCGCCCAGTTAACAACTGCAGGCGGAGCCAGAGACGCGGAATCACCTGGCCTTGGGGGCCGGAGTGCCGAGGCTGCAGACGGGCAGCACCCTGCAGTTGCTGGAGTTTAATTCCATCAGTCCCTAGAAGCTTAGGGACGCGGGGGGGTGGGCGCCTAGGGAAGCTTGGCGCCAGTCCCCGCCCCAGGCCCGGCGTGGCCCCACCCGGCGCCCGTCCTCCCTGCGCAGCTCCGCCCCCGCCTCTACCCCGTCGTCCCTGCGCAGCCCCGCCCCCGCCTCTACCCCGTCGCCCCTGCCTGCGTGGCCCAGTCCCTTGCCCGGAGGCCCCCGCGCTCGTGGCGCCCGTCGCTCTGGCTGACGTCACGGCCGGAGCGCTCATTGGTCCATTTCAATAGTCGCGGGATACTTGAACTGCAGGAACAGCCGCCGCACGGCGGGCTGCCGGCTGGCTGCATCTCGGGCGTCCGCGCCTCCGCGCCGGGCCGCGCCGCGCCGCGCCTGCTCCACCCTTGGCGATCCGGTGCGTCCTGCGCGGGTCCAAGCCGGTGAGCCGCGGCGGCCAGGCTGGCTGGGCCGCGGCGGACGGCCAGGGCTGGAGCGTCCCCGGCGGGCGGGCAAGCGCACGCTGCTTGGCGCGCGGGCTGACCGCCTCGCGCCCCCGGGATCCGCGATGTTGGGCAGCTCCGCGCCGCGGCCTGCGGCCCTCGAGACGGGCCCTGCACTGCCGGCGCTGCAGCAGACGGGGTTCCAGGAGGACCAGGAGAACATCAACCCGGAGAAGGCGCCCGCCCCGCAGCCGCGGACCCAGGCCGCGCTGGCTGTGCTGAAGGCCGCGAACCCGCGGTGTCCCGCGCCGCAGAAGCCCAAGACGCGCCGGGTAAAGGTGCAGGGGTCTGCAGGAGGGCGGCTGGGCGGGACTTGGGAGCGCCTCTCGGCTCTTTAGGGGCTGGGGTCCAGAGTCCACTCGGTCCCAGGTTTTCTGGTACGTGGGTTGCCGCTGGAGTAGCGTCTCCCATTATTCTTAGCATGCTCCCTAGTGGAAGCATCTTTCTGTAGATAATGGGGTCAGATCAAGCCCTACAGCGTGAATTGGCCTTCGCCCAGCTTCCAGCCTTCCTCTCCACTTTCAAACCCCAGGCACTGCCAGGACCGGATCCCCCACCCCCACCCGTCTGCTCTAGGAGTTACCTCCGTTTCGGGAAGGGGTCTGAAAAACATTTTGCTTTTGGTAAATTCCGCCATTTTAGCCGGATTTGCTCTGTTGCTCCACCCTGGGGTGAAAGTGGTGAATAAGTACTTTTTTCCTCTTTTCCTAAACTTATTTAGCCTGACACCCCATCCTTGAAGCCTTGGTTATTTTAACTCCACGTAGTTCTGATTAGTTACAAGGGGAAAAAGGTAAAACTCCATTGAATAAGCTCAAAGCCTGTTATTCTTTCCCGTTAGGTCGCACCTCTAAAGGATCTTCCCGTGAATGATGAGCATGTCACTGCTGTTCCTCCTTGGAAGGCAAACAGTAAACAGCCTGCATTCACCATTCATGTGGATGAAGCAGAGGAGGAGACTCAAAAGAGGCCATCTGAAAAAAGAACAGAGTGTGAGAATGTCCTGGCTTTTAGTACAGCTGCTACTTTACCTGGACCAAGAAAACCTCTGGTGCCTCTGGATTATCCGATGGATGGTAGTTTTGGTAAGTTTTAAGACACTCTATTTGTTATGATACACTGTATGGAAGTTTTGTATAACAGGCTTAGAGAAGATGGGATCTTCCTCTACTGTCACCCTGATACTTGACCTAGTGACCTACAAGACCTAGATCCTCATGCCCTTTTGTGAACTCTACCAACTTAATTTGCATACTGATTAAATAGACCTTGAATTCTTATTTGAATCTGATCCCATTTGATTGTTTCAGAGAATGGATTCCAGTTATATTCATAGCTTCACTTTTCAGATACCATTTCAGAGAGTGTTATTTGAAGACATAAATAGTTATAACTAACATTTTTTTCTGTAAAACCATTCTGAGTGATCATCTGCAAGTGATACTGTCCTTCTCTAAGTTAGTAGCTGTACCAAGTTAGTAGGGAAAACATGGCTGTTTTCCCTAACCCACAAAAATAGTAGCTGCTGTAGACAGCCCTGCTTATAGTTTTGTGCTGTTTCTTCACTTTCTGATAAAGTTCTGATTCTAGCTGATACCTAATTGTGCTCTGAAAATGTCTGGCTATGGGGTCTGAATTCTCTTAGGGAAAACCTTAGATACTATTCAAAACTTGGGACAGTAAGTGCTCTCCTAATAGAATCACATACCATCTGCTCCCATCTCTCATGGAAGATGAATGATACTTTAATACTCAGTCTCCTGTTAGTGGCTTATCAACATTTGTCTCATTAATTGGAACCAATTCTAAATCTATGTAAACAGATACTAAAACTAGAGTAAAACATTCCAGGTACTTTGCCATGAGAAGTCCTTTTTAGTTGAATGAAATAAATGCCTTGGTATTATTAGACTCCGTATAGGGGTCATTTTTAGCTACTAAATCAAATGAAAGCAATTCATCTTGTCTTTTGAATTCTCTCAGAGTCGCCACACACTATGGATATATCAATTGTGTTAGAAGATGAAAAGCCAGTGAGTGTTAATGAAGTGCCCGACTACCACGAGGATATTCACACATACCTTAGGGAAATGGAGGTAAGGGCTGAGCCCACTCTGCACACTAGGTTCACTAAGAGCAGCTGAGTGGAGTGCAGAGGGGTCACTGTCTTTCCAGTGCTGCACTTCAGTTCACAGCACGCAGACCTCTGTTGATGGTGAATGGTCTAACACTACTGACTTTTCCTGGACAGGTCAAGTGTAAGCCTAGAGTGGGCTACATGAAGAAGCAGCCAGACATCACTAACAGTATGCGGGCTATCCTTGTGGACTGGCTGGTTGAAGTGGGAGAAGAATATAAACTACAGAATGAGACCCTGCACTTGGCTGTGAACTACATCGACAGGTTCCTCTCGTCCATGTCAGTGCTGAGAGGGAAACTTCAGCTTGTGGGCACAGCTGCCATGCTGCTAGCCTCGTAAGTCCACTGTTCCTTCCTGTCTGAGCCTCTCCTTTCCATACGGGAAAAGAATGTGATCTCAGCTGTGACGTCCTTACATACACAGGCCAGAGTCAGAGTACTTTAGGGATGGCTGTGGTGTGCGAGCTGAGGGGACTGAGGATGAAATTGTTCTAATCTAGAACAGTGGTCTTCGGAACTGGATTCCAGGATACCTCCAATGAACATGAAATATCATATTTTACAATGATTAGATTACCAAGCTTGAAAGTGTGGTTCCTTCCATAACAAAGTGCTTTTTGACATACAAATAATGTCTTCTACTAAGGCATGAAGATGGAATTTAAAAATGGAAACATCAAATGTCTGTTTACCTAAGTTTCTAGCTACCTTGTGAGCTCTGGCATTGGTCCTATCCTGGGAAATCTCATGTCTCTCACTCAGTTCTGTGCTGCACTGGGAGGAATATGTCACAAGTTTTCTTGGATTTGGGTCTTTTAGTAGTAGTTGAAGGTCTCTGCTAGAAACAATGGTCACGTATCCGTGAAAGTGCAGTTGGTAAAAAGTGGGTTTGGGGTCATTCTGTGTATTCTGCAAATGGGATTGCAGAGCTGGGAGGCTTGCTTCTCTTAAAAGGACTTACTATTTAAACTTTTTTCATTGTAGAAAGTTTGAAGAAATATACCCCCCAGAAGTAGCCGAGTTTGTGTACATCACCGATGATACCTATACCAAGAAACAGGTGCTGAGAATGGAGCACCTAGTTTTGAAAGTCCTTGCTTTTGACCTAGCTGCACCAACAGTAAATCAGTTTCTTACCCAATACTTTCTACATCAGCAGCCTGCAAACTGTAAGGTTGAAAGTTTAGCAATGGTAAGTTACTTATTATTTTGTTGGAGATTCCTATATAATAATTAGAGGTGAGCGTGAGTTTAATTCTACATACAAATGTAGAATTTGCTTTGCTCAAGAGATTTAGTATTCTGGGGACAGATTAATGTTGCAGTATGGAAAAAAGCCTACCATAGGTGAAAGACAGTACATGGTTGGCGCTCCCTATCTCTAGGTTCTCCACTCATAAATTCAACCAATCATGGACTGAAAGTTGTCAGGGGAAAATCAAACTGCATCTACACTGAACAAGTACAGACTTTTTTTTTCATTACTCTCTAAACAATAACTATATAAAGTTTACGTGAAGAATTACAAGTGACCTAGAGATGGTTTAAAGTATGCAGGAGGGTGTGTAAGCATATACAAGTGCTAGACCATCCACATATGTGGGACATGAGCATCCACTGGTTTGGTGTGTTCGAGTGAATGGGTGGGTGCTGGAAGAGGATCATCAGCATGGACACCGAGGGACAGCTGTGTATTGGGAAAGCACTAAGGAGTAGTGGTTTGAGGACAAAGTGTGGGGAAAATGGTAGCCAGGAGCACTGTCTTTAGTTCTTAGAGGGGAATGCAGGATGAAAGTGGAGTGAGACACCATGATAGTGGGGTGTAAAGATGCGGCTATGTATTTTTTCCAGGGTTGTCACAGAGGCAGTATCAAAGACAAGAAAAAAAATAGGTCAGAAGGAAAGGGTCTGAGGTTTGAATTCTAGAGCTCTAGGTCCTCGAGTATTTGTCATTACAGTTCTTGGGAGAGTTGAGTTTGATAGATGCCGACCCGTACCTGAAGTACCTGCCATCAGTCGTTGCTGGAGCAGCCTTTCACTTGGCTCTCTACACTGTCACAGGCCAGAGCTGGGTGAGTATGACACTGCAGGCTGTCCCAGGCCCGGGTTGTCCAGGTGCTGTTATTTGGAAAACTATTCCAGTATGCGTACTGTTGAAGACGTCTTTCCTATTGAACATGTTAGGGGAAAGGCTTAGTTGTGAGCTTGGATTTGAAAGGTGTGCTTAGGATTTCAGGCCCCACGGAGGCTGCAGTTCATGGTGCTGGTGGGGAAAGTAGTGAGAAAGGATCAAGGCGTAGGAATGGCCTGAGAAAGTAGATGTGGGGTGGGTGGGTGGTGGTGAAGAGCCAGCTGACCACAGGCTCACTGTTTTCAGTGTCCCCTGTTAACGACGGCACTCTGGTTCCCTGCCCCTCCCGTAGCCTGAATCGCTGGTACAGAAGACCGGATACACCCTGGAAAGCCTCAAGCCCTGTCTCCTGGACCTCCACCAGACCTACCTCAGAGCCCCGCAGCATGCACAGCAGTCCATAAGGGAGAAGTACAAGCATTCGAAGTAAGAGCCGAGCACATGTTTCCAGACTGTGACATTTTACTTTATCAAAGCATACATGGGGTTTGCCACAGCTTCTTTATGGAGCTCTTCTCAGGCTGTGGCATCAGGGTGGACTACTTTCCTAGCATGAGCCAGGTCCTGGGTTCCATCCCCAGAACCGCCAAAACAAAACAAAAACCCTGATCTCTTGGAGCTTGGAGAAGGATGTAAATGATGCTTTGTCTTGCAGCTGGGGGTGAGGGGAGAGGAAGGGGATCCGACAGCAATTCTAAAACAACCTAACCAGACAGACAGGAAGAACATTTCTGAGGGCCCAGCGCACACAGCACAGGTCTCCCTTGCCAGTGAATATTTACTAACAAGACTTTTTAATTTACAGGTATCATGGAGTTTCTCTCCTCAACCCACCAGAGACACTAAACGTGTAACGTGGAAGACTGCCTGTTTTCTAAGATGTAAATCCCTCAGAGTACATGGTGTACAGTTTTTATCTTGGGTTGTCATTTCACAATCATTTATGAACATAGAAGTTATGGTCAAGGACAAATTATGGTATCTATTACTTTTTTTAATGGTTTTAATTTGTATATCTTTTGTACATGTATCTATCCTAGATATTTGGCTAATTTTAAGTGGTTTTGTTAAAGTATTAATGATGCCAGCTGTCAGGATAATAATAAATCGACTTGGAAATCTTTGACTTAGTTAATTGGAGGTTTAAATATGACTTGTTCCAGATTCTCTTGGAAAAGACAATTTGTTTGTAGTTTGTTGTGCAGTGGGGAGTGAGGAGCCTTCCTCTAAAACACCCTGAAAAATCCTGGCACTCATTTCCTCAACAACTGGACTAGTGTGCTGACGGTCACCAACTAAACACGCCTGGACTAAACCGCCTGCTCGCACAGTGAGACCCTCAGACTCAGCTCTGTGTAAACACCCTGCAGCAGCCTCTGAAAGTGATTTTTTTTGATTCCTCATCAACTTCTAGACTCTACCCAGGCCACAGAAGAGGTTGAAAATGGTTTGGGAAGCTTTTTGCGCATATGAACAGTCAAAAATCACTTTGGAGGTTCATTTTAAAGCTGACATTAAAAAAAAAAAACATCAGGCTTTATATTGGAATTATGAATAAAAAAAATACCCAGAGTAGTTTGTACTGAATAAATTATCCTTTTAATAGCTATATATGCAAATATACAACTTATTGTTAGTTAACAATTCTCTTCTTTTTTCTTTTTCTTGCTGGCTTTTTACTTGGTGCTTTTTCTTGTTTTGCACTGACGATCTGTGTTCTGTGAATAAAGTAACAGTTCACTGATGACATGCTTGTTGAATTTTGGATCATTAAATTAGGGCTTCATTGTTTTTCTAGTAGGATATGAAATGTGGTAGCTGTGAGAGTAAAAACTTTGAAAGTCATCTCATGTCTACAGAACTGGGCACTGACTTCTTATAACCAGAGTGAATGAACAGGAATGAAAAAGGGGAAGATAGCACAGAACCAGAGGGCAATAAAGTGGAAATTTGTACCTTATTTTCTTTGGATTCTTGTCTGGTTCTAAAATGATCATTTCTTCTTCTTCACTGTCTGAGAGCACTATAGGGGCATCTTGAAGAAAATACCATGGAAAGCAATATAAGTAATCTCCTGAAAATTCCCATGAATTTATGTGTGATTCCAAACTCCATTCCACACTGAGACCCCCCCAGCTGCTTTCTGGGGTTTACAGATCCATAAACTTTGTTCTTCCCAAATCTTTCTCTCTGAAGTCGTTCCTTAGAGCTCAGAAAAACTCTCCTCTAACAATTCTCATTTCCTTTAGTTGTGTTTGTAAAGGCTGAACACACAGGAGTATTCAGGGGGAATCTATGCAGCATCTATCAGATCTGATCTGCAGATGACCTGCAGTCAGGACTCTAGCTAAGCTGTTGGTGCTGCTCTAGGTAAGAAGGGACAAGGTCCACCTTAGCAGCTGCTGTTGTCTTCCATTATAAACAGAAGCAGAACTGTTGGGTCAAAAGGCACATTCCAAGATTTTTTTTTTTTTAACCAACTCCATCCAGAAATACTGTTCCAATTCCTCTAAGAAGTGGAAATGAGAAAACATTTCTCATTGAACCTTGTAGATACTGCTATTTAATACTGCCTAATCAGTAGCCAAAATATATTATTACTTTTTTCTTTGAATTTATTTCTTTCATTATTACAAGGACTGACCATTAAAAATGTTAATGGGCCATTTTCTTTTGCCTATTTTTATCCACAGCATTAATAATGAACACACTTTATACACACACACACAAGTCAACCCTTTTCCTCATTGGTTGATTGCCTATTAATTCTTCATAGTTTCAGTTCGCACCTGCTCTGTTCACATCCTTTGGGAATATTGACTCCATCCTCCCAGTTTCATTATTTAATTGAAAATATTAGTCTTCGAACCAGAAATAAAATGTCGAACTATTAACTTTATGAAGTATAAGTGCAAGGACACCAGCACTGGAAGGAGGTAAGGAAAGGCAGCCAGAGTCCTCAATGAGAGAATGGCTAGGCTGCTGGGTACATGCAGTGGTGCTGGATTTGTGCAGCATTTAAAAAGGAGCTGCTACATACGTGACTGCATGACCAAAATGAGAAATTATACCCCATCTGATTCAAATGTACGATATGTCAAGATCATTGTACTGTCAAGTGTAACTAATTAAAACAATTTTTTAAAAAAAGGAGCTACATAGGTTGATGTGGAAATCCTTGTGAACACGAGTCCTGGGGTAAACAGCTTATTCCATTGGTAAATAGCTACTTAAATAACACCAAACAGAAACAGCCCCTGGGAAAACTGTGTAAGTTCTCACCGAGAGTTTTCTCTTCACCCATTTACCAGAACTTTTACCAAGAAAAGCAATTCCTGATCTTAAATGGGCCAGGCAGAATTTTGTATTCATAAAAGCAAAAGGATCCATAGGCAAAAATAAACGTCTTCATTTCCTCAGCTTTTAGAATGCAAGGTACACATACGATGGACAGTATTTCAGGCATTTCTAGAAATTTTGTGTCCTTTAATTCTCCACTAATACGCAGCCACTAGCCACATACGGCATTTAATTTTATGTTAGCTATAATTAAATTTAAATTCAGTCCCTCAGACAAACCCATTTCAAATGTTTAGTAGTAAGCCACAAGGGGCTAGTGGCTTCTATACAGATGCAGAGTTACTGCTTCTTGTAGAAAGTTTGTACTACATGATGTAAGATAAGTTTTTTTGAGTCTAAAAACTAGAAAACTCATTTAAACCCTTTAAACTGGCCCAGATACGAGTACAAAAAAATTTTTAATTAAAAATGTTGCCATAACTTTATATGCTAAAAAGTCTACCACTACACGAAAATAAACATTCTTTAAAAAAAGAATTGATGTTAATGTTGCAATTAGTCCCATTTGGTTGAAATTTAAATCACAAAATATTTAGCCCCTCCAAGAAAGGGTCACATACCCCACGTGTAGCTGCTCTATATTCTCCACAGATCTCTACAGACTATCTGTGTTACATAGCTGCACACAGGTCAGGCACACGCTTCTGGAGACAGGTATCTACAATACTCCTGAGCAGCATCACTTACCTTGGCTTCCAATATTGGAAACCTCTGCTGTGTCCATCTTCACGTCATCAGAAAGGACAGCCTCGTCACTGCCACCTTCGTCCTCACCTTCCTTCTCAGAGTCTTCAAGTACACCCCAGGTGTTCTCTACTCCCTCTCCGATCTGGGCAGTTCCGGGAGTCCACAACACAGGTTCGGCAATGCTTCACAAGTTAAGAAAACTGAAGAGCAAAAGTACTGCTACTTGAACTGATGGAAAAAGTCGTATCTTGTAAGATTTATTCAATGATTTCTCAAATTCTCATGGAAAAGAATACAGCTGTAGTATGGAGAGCTGAACAATGAAAAATATATAACTCGGGATTTTATGGACACCAGTGGTAAGAGAAATAAAAGACAGTTGTAAATTTAGTAAACAAATATTTTTAAGAATAAAGTGTAATAGTGTATAAGGTAACCTGACCATGCCATTGATACTAAATAACAAATTTTCAAAGGAAAATGAAAATACTATAAAAATATTTTTGGGCAGTGTTAGGGATGGGCCTTGCACATGCTAAGCAAGTGCTCTACCACTGAAACACACCTCCAGTCCCTAAAATGGGTCTCACAATTGAGAATTTTCTGGTTCCTGCAGAGTAACCAAAGAGAAGCTAGATGTTAAATTGTCGACTTCATATGACTCATATTACTTTCTTAAGTTTTTTCTCTAACAGCATTTCAGAAAAGAAATGTCAGTATGCATACACAACATCAGTAAAGCCAACAGTGCTATCCATCCTGTTATGCACAAACACACAACAAAGATACACTTCTGGAGGAGGCTCAGCTTCAGCGATGATCTCTTCTGCTTTCTCCTCTACATCTGAGGTATCGATGGGGGCCTTTTCCATTTTAAATGCTGTGATTCTTTGATTTGCTATAGACTCTGCAAAGCCAAACTTTCCACCTTCTTTCCTGTATGTGGGTTTTTGTTGTGGGTGGGTGGACGGAGAATGATAAAGACAGATGAAAGAAAAAAACAGTGAAGAAAAAGTATTTTATCCTTCAGTGGTGAGAAATATTGGAATAGTCTATTTTACTAACATGCCTGTCAAGGAAATAACAACAAATTCCCATAATTATCATTTATGGAATCGTGTACCAGGCATGTGCTAGGTGCTTACAGTGCATTCTCTGATCCTCAATCAGCCCTACCAAGAAGGCATTAGCCTCACATATGGTACAAAAGAGACTGAAGTCCTAAATTACATATCTTGGTAAGGTAACACAGTAAGAAGTAGAGATGGGAATCAACCTATTTGTGTTCTTTCCATTAACTGAGTTACCAGATTGTTTTTCCCCTAAGAAAATGTGAATTTTTAAAGAAAAATCTTATGGATTTTCAATACAAGTAATGTTTAAAAACAGGAAGAAAATATAATAGAATTTAATCAACTTTCAAAAACACAAGTAGTATATTCAATTAAGGTTAACAAATAAGGACAGATCAAGTGTGATAATTATATTGTTGACTTTGAACAAGAAAGGCCCAGAAATATGTATTAAAAAGACCATTTAGTTCTGAAAAAGTTAAAACTTACCTAACTTTTTGGTCATTCTCCAGAGCTTTCTGTATTAGCTCTGTAATTTCTGCTACTTTCACACCAGCTATTTTACTGCATCTCAAAACCTATTTGTAAAAGTGAATTCTGTTAAAGACAACAAACCATATGGCTTTAAAACTACAATCATGAAATTAGCCTATTTTTATAATTTAAGCTTTTCCAAATATGAAAATGATGTATTGTTAACACAAGTCAAGGCAAGATGAAGAGCTGTTAACATCTGAAGAACTACTGCATTAACAGGACAGACTTTCTTACATGACAGTCTGACACTACAGGAAAGGCCTGCTCAGGTTTGCACCTTCCCATAAGTGATCCACAGAAACAGGAGCCTGACTATGGCGCTAGTAAGAACGCCAGCCATGAGGACAACAGAAACCAGTGTCTACTGAGCACCTAGTGTATGCTGGACATTGCTACATACCTACATCTATTTACCCTCTCATCCTATTTTACACACACACACAAAACAGGCCCAAAGACTCAGCATCATTTGCCCAGAGTTAGTGCACAGCGGAGCTGGATGGGAAGCCCAGCAGCGCCCCTGCTCTCCTCTACTTATTCCACAGGTCCCACAGCAGCACTCTGCTTTCTACGAGTCTCCATGTGAGTCTCGCATGTGGCTGGGTTTGAGAATCACTCTAGTGGTAGCCAAATTCTACAAGTAAGACTATCGTCCTACCTTATTTCTACCTTTTGCCATTAAAAAAAAAAAAAGACATGTATCTTTCTTCACTGAAAGAAAAAAAGTGTTCCTCTAGTTGGAAGGGTCAGGCTCAGGATGGTTACATGTGGGAACAGCCAGAGACAAGAACACCTCAGTGTCCACTGTCAACAGAATGTAACAACTGTACTGAAACCTGATTCCCGCACATCCTAGGATCAATCGATTAAGTACTCTCACTGGATTTTGGTTAAAAGACAAGAAAAAGCTTCTAAAAAGAAGAGACCTATTCTTAAAGGCACATTAGTCAAAGCACTAACTTGATCTTTCAGTAGCATTATCCCACCACTGGACTGGATGGTACAAATCTCTCGATGCTTATTCATGGCAATCACCAGCAAGCCATCCATTACCCGTTCTTCTCGTTCATTAGGATCCACCAAGAGATAC